TTTCATCTTTCGCTCATGAAGCGTTTCGTCCCTTCACCATTTTCTTCTAGCCACAGAAGAAAGCCCTTTTCTCTCCATTCGCGCGCGGTTTCGTTTTCGCAAAGTATTGTGTACTCTGTAACATAAATATAGTTAAAAGTAACTGCAAAATAATCTTTGCGAAAACGTTTTTAACCTACTGAAGTCAAAAGGTTGTTCAAGATCATTGCAAGGAACGTTTAAATTTTGCTTAACAGTTCTATAGTGTAATATCAAAAATTTGATACAGTATATATTAAAAAAAAACGCGAACTTGCACTAAAAAATTTCTCTGGCCAATCAAACAACAAGATCAGATGTACAGTAACTAGTGTTCGTAATTAGTGTTCTCGGAATTTTCATGAGAACACTATTATAAATTTGTACACAATAAAATTTTATACTGTTACTATTAAAAATTTTTGAGAATAGTAAAATAATAATAGTGTTCTTATATGCATATACGAACAGTTTAATACCAAGCCAGAAACCGATAAATATCCTGTATTAATCTAAGGTAAATTAACGAATATTTATTAAGCAATTTGAATTATTTTTTTAAACCTAATACAATTATAGTATATATTTCTATTTTCTGGTATACAGTATATATTGCTTTATTTATTTATTTATTTTTTTTAAAATCGTAGCTTGAGAACGCCTACATTTATTGCACTATTCTCATGAGAACAGAGTTTGGACCTGAAATTTCGAACACTGGGTGTAACATAAAGATCCGATTATAAATTTTTTTCGTTTCGTTCAACGTTCTAAAGCCTGTCGATTCTTAGTAGGAGCGTAAAATCTAATTAGCCAAGTTGCTCGAATAAATTATTATATACTAGAAAATGAATTGTAATTCTTCACAATGGCTTTCTGATTATACTTTACTCGCGTTTCAGAGTTTTAATTACTGCTACTTTTAAATTTTTTAACTGCTTTACACTTAAGAACATCATTGTGCAAAACTCTGAATTCTCAAGTTGCTTTAAGATGGAGATTGTACCCCGTATAAGAATCACCCGATTAATTTATGTACCTTATTTTCGCGAAATAACGCCCACCTGCGCGTTATTTAGAGTACCGCGCATGAGTGTTATTTTGAGACAACAATAAAATTTCACTCAAACGCAAACTATATCCAATTATTAGTTGGAACCTTATATAGTGTGCGCGTTATTTTGGGACGCGCATGGGCGTTATTTTGAAAACACGCATGCTATTTTTAGGTCGAGGTTCATAGGACGACATTCGTATGATTGGTAGATCTACCCGTGATTTCCCGTGATAATTAACCAATCAAATCAATCAAAA